TCATCCAAGTGTTTTCTCCTCCTTCTCCCTACCACCAAACCCTAGGAGCTAGGGTGGCGGTGCCGATCTACCTCCTCCGTGGCGAGATCAAGGCTCCCCTCTCCGTCCGGTTGCTGGTTCGTCGACGGGAGGGGGCAAGGACCCCGCTGTCTCAGGCGATGGTGATGGGGTGATGTTTTAGTTTAATTTTTTGTCCCCAATCGTCGATGGTTATCGGCATGAAATAAGTGTTCCCCGCCTTGTCCTCGTTGCGACGGTGCTTCTTGGCATCGTTGCGAGTCATGTGTCCCTTTGGTTCTCTAGAATGTGTTTTTCCTTTTGTAGGTTTGTCTCAATGGCACTGTCCTGCGGAGCAGATGGTGCGGCGTCTTGGTACCTTCGTTCCAGTTTCAGTCTACAAAGGTTGGCTAGTTTCACCTCGTCGTTGAGTGTGTGAGAATTATGTTCCTTGACCCCGTCTAGCCAGATGTGGGGCATTATACAGGCCCTCTCCGGTGTTTACTTCTCCGGGGCAATCATTTTCTATGCAGATCGAGGTCGTCGACATCTTCCAGTCTACATCGACATCTTCCTGACCGTTGCTTCCACAAGCTCATAGGTTTAAACAAGATTGCTCTCTTGAGATGGCGGCTGAGAGGCGTCAACGGGTTTTGCTCATGGCGTGTCGTCGGTGGTTGCAGAAGGAAGAAGACTTCGGTGCTCCAAGGATTTGGATATATTTTTTTAGTTTCTGTAGGGGTTTTTTGTCTTTGCTATTTAATACTCCACACATTACATTTGACTTTTACAAAAACTAGATGATCAGTTGCACCCACTAGATCGGTGCAAAAATTCTTTTATGCGTACGCATATGTACACTCGGCTGATGCACACCGGCGCTTCTATATCTCGCGTCACGAGAGAGAAGGTTATCGCTCGCTGAAGTGCCTACTACTTGCGCGAGCAGATGGGCCGGCCCAGTGCGCGGGGTGGCAACTGCCTCGTTTTTTTTTTCTGTTTTTCACGTTTTATTTCATTTTCTGATTTCTTTATTACATTTGTTTAACCTTTTAAAAAATATTTTATGTATTTTTTGGGAAAATGTCAATCACGCATTCTGAAAATGTTAAATGCATATAGGTTGATCATGTATACAAAAAATATCAAATGTGTGTGAAAAATTGATCATGTATTTAGAAAAATGTTAATAAAGCTTTTAAAAAATGTTGACCATGTATTAGAGAAACTGTTAAGATTGTATTTGAAAAATTATAAATGTTGAATGAGTATTTTAAAAATGTTAAATATGTATAAGAAAAGTGTAGAACTTGTATTTGAAAAATATTAAATTTGTACATACTTTTTTTGAAATTGTATTTGAAAAATTTTAAACTTGTATTTGAAAAATGTTAAACTTGTATTTGGAAACTGTTAAATATGTATAGAAAAATTTTGACAGTGTATTAAGAAAATGGTTAAACTTGTATTTGAAAAATATATAAAAATGTATATGGAAAAAATGTTGAGCATGTATTAAAGAAATGTTAAACTTGTATTTGAAAAATGTTTAATATGAATAGTAAAAATGTTGACCATGTATTAATAAAATGTTAAACTTGTATTTGAGAAATGCTAATCAAGCATTTGGAAAAAAAGCGAAACATGTATAGAAAAAGTGTTGACCATGTATTCAGAACATGTTCATTTGGTATTTGGAAAAAGTCTTAATAAAGCATTTATAAAATATTAAACATGTATTAGAAAATTATATTAGATATATACCAAAAATTGTATAGGAATAAGGGAAACCCGAGAGAAAACAAAGGAAGCCGATGATAAACAAGAAAATAACAAACAAACCCGAACAAAAAAGAAGAAAAGGAAACAAAAATCCAGTGAAAACCGAGAAAGAAATAAAAAAAACTAAAGAAAGAGAAAGAAAATAACAAATCTGTGAAAACTAAGGAAAGAAATGAAGAAAAACCGGTGAAAAATAAAACCAAAAAAACATGGAAAAACCTATGGAATGTTGGATTGTTTGTTGTCAAGTAGGTCGCACCATCAAATTTATCACCAACCGCATGCCAACTGAGAGTAATGTACATAGTAAAAGGAGAATTTTATCGCTACTTCTATCTAGCTTCATCTGGATTCTGCTTCTTTACGAGTGTACCATAATCCGTCGTATTGTAGCAGGCCCATGTGCATGAATCTCCAACATGTCGAACAATGGATCCATGCACGTTATTTATAACATGCATGATAGAAAATGTTTTGCATCATCTATGATAATGTAAAAAAGAGAAAAAAATACACTCGAGGTCCTAATTCTCTTTTATTTGTGACAAGTTAGTCCTAAATCTTTCAAAACGATTATCTGGGTCCTAAAAGAAAGCAAATTGTCTCATCGTTGGTCCTAAACTCACTCGCGCCCCTCGGACCAGCATGTGTGGCACGTTGACCACCTCCTTGTCGAGCAAATGTACTTTTGTGAAAAAGACCTGCTCTCGTGATCATTTCCATTTCCGCCCCTTTCTTTCCCTTTCCCCTCTCGAAATCTTCCCGAAGGTGGCTGCTAGGTGACGATGGCGACGGTTTCTTGGGGTTGTCTGAACGACGACGGAAATGGCAAGCGATGTGACTGGAAGCGAGCCTGTCCGCCCGATTAAGCCAGGAACAAGGTGAGCCCCCGACCATCTCCAACACTGGTGGAGAAGGTGGTGATCCAATCATGCAAATGTCATCTAGGTCTAGATCACTACAAAGATCAGAATGGTTCACATACAGTGTCAAGTTTTTAAAATCTGGCACCACTAAAGCCATAGCTAATGTGTCGACATTTCTGTCGATAATGCTCAACCCAGTATTTAGACTCTTGCCAGAAAGCAACCAATAAGCTTGAGCAGCAACTTATGACCAAGTTCTTTAATAGAGTCCTTAATCCAGAGGGGTGTCAAGAATCTACTTCATAGTAATCGAAATAGTCAATTAGGCCATCCACATATGTCTTGTACGAGCCATGGTCACAAACAAAACCATGATGATGAATCTCTACTGCAAAACGATCCTCAGGTGGTCCTGGTGAGAGAAAAAAGGGAAATTTCCGAGAAACCCTAGTTCCTAGATCCGACATAAGTGGTACATAAATGTGGTTAATGTCAATGCTTCATGTAATCTATGTCCTAAGAAACTCGAACATACAAATAATCATCCCAATGAAACCGAAAGAATGGGCAAATCGTTGGGAGGAAAAGCTAGGGTTCTTACCGCAACGTGGAGGGGGGGGGGTCCGGGCTCGTCGTGTTCATGTCTTAATCGGATCGACGGGCTCGCTTCCAGCCACGGTAGTGACATTGTTTGCCACTCCCGCCGCCGTTTAGATGGCCCCAAGAAACCGCCCGCCGCCCAAAGCATTCGAGAGGGGAAAAGGGAAAGAAAGGTGCGGGAACGGAAATAATCACAACGACCGGATCTTTTTCACCAAATGTCAAGTGATCTGCTCGATGTGGAGATGGTCAACATGCCACGGGTGCTAGTCAGACGAACGCGGGCGAGTTTAGGATGAGTGATGACACAACTTGCTTTCTTTTAGTACCCAAAATAGTCGTTTTGTAAGATATAGGACTAACTTGACACAAATAAAAAAGAATTAGGACCTCCTATGTATTTTACTCTTTTTTATACTGGCATATATGACGCGAAGCGTTTTCTATCGTGCATGCTATAAATAACGTGCCTGGATCCACTGTTTGACGTGTTGGAGATTCGTGCTCGCGGGGCTCGCTGCAGTACGATGAATTATTACGATACACTCTTGAAGAAGTAGATTACAATACACTCTTGAAGAAGTAGAATTGAGGTGAAGCTAGATGGAAGTTTAGCGATACATTCTTCTTTTACCCCGTACATTACTTTGAAACACGAAGAAAATCCACCAAAACGTTATGTAAGACTCAGAAACAAGACAAAACTTCGACAAAAACGAAAAAAAAACACGTGGAACGAATCTCCAGGTGACCATAGACGATGGATCCATGCATGTTGGCATGGTAAAAGGATAATCTCCGTAAATTATGAGCTTTCTAGAAGCGAGGAGATTCATTCTGACTTGTTTTGGCTTGTTTCTTCACTCTCTTCATAGTGGATGCCTACTTCTCTCACCTAGTTGCTCACGACTGAAACAAACAGGTTGGTTGCGGCTCGTCGAAGCCACATCTCATACTAGATTGAGAGCATGCCAGACTTCTCGACCAAGGGAGGAGTATGGAAGTGGGGTGATGCAGGTGAGGGACTAGCGAAACAAGGTGGGCGCCATGGCCGATGTAGTGAGATTAGGGGCATTGCGATTTCTTTTTCACTTATTGACAGGGAAGTTAGGGATTCACGGGTTCACATGATGCTAGGGGGCAGCCGCTGCCTTGCAGGGTGGGCGGGGGCGTCCATCTCGTGCATATTGGTGGCTCCACGCAATGAAGGGAGGCGGTGCCAGAGAGAATAGTCGGGCAGCGCCATCTAGGTCAAAACATTCGCGCGAGGGGTGGCGGACCGTCGAGCGATGTCATAGCGAGGCGATCCCACTGGTGGGGGAAGACGCTGATTTAGCCATCACGACGACCGCAAACACCCCGCTTAATAGTGAGGATAACCCGCTTACATCATCTTGTTATGCTTGCTTTTGCTCTTCATGGACGATGGGCTCTTTCTGGAGGCATCTAGAAGTAAGGAGAATACTTCCGAAATCTGTTCGGCTTGTTAGGACTATAGTATAAATTACCCCAACCACCAGGACAGATGGCAATTTGATCTCACAACTACCCAAATTTGCCTAAAGTAATTGCTCCAAATACTTGCCAAATTTTGAAAAATATTTAAACACATACTCTCAACTTTGTTTCCCCATCCACCCAAACCCTAGAGAGAAAAAAAAAGGAAGGAAAAAAATCAACAAAAAAAGAGAGAGAAAATGCGCCGCCGTTGCTCGCCGTCGTGACCCCGCCGCCGGCGAGGCCTCCCCCGCGTCCATGGATCTTTCCGCCGCAAGCGCCCTCGCCGTCCTCAGCAAGCTGCAGCTCCTCGGCTTCTGCGTCGGCCTCCAGATCCCCGACGACGCCGCCGACCCCTCCGAGGTGTTCGACACCATCGTCGCCGCGTTCCTGCGCGAGGTCTACCCCGGCGAGCGCGATGCGCGCCCGCTCCCGGCCGCCCTCGGCGACGGGCGCCGCGTGGACCTCCTCCGCCTCTTCACCGCCGTCCGCGCCGCTGGCGGCTACGCCGTGTCCTCGTCGCCCTCTGTCGGCGCCGGCGTCTGGGCCGCAGCCGCCGGATCTGCCGCCCTCGCCGCGCCCGTCAAGCTGATCTATGCCAAGTACCTCGGCGCGGTGGAGCGCTGGATCCAGAGGCTCCCGGAGGCGCAACCACCGCCGTCTGACGAGATGCGGCAGGAGATGCTCTGCGTCCGCGGTGCCAATGGAGTTGAGATGGAGAACTGCAATGGGAGGGATCAGCAGCACGGGGCGCTGAAGAGGAAGAGGGAAGACATTGCTGGGATGCTGGATTGGGTGAGGGGGCTCGCCGAGAGTGTCTCGGAGGAGGGCGCCATCGCCGCCGGTTTGGCGGATGGATACTTCCCGGTGGCATTGGCGGCGCGGGAGGCGGTGTCCAGGAAGAGGGCACGCCGCGCAAGCGTGACCAACGGCGCGCTCTTGCAGGTGATTCCGACACCTTTGATAAACTTGTTGCTGAAGATAATGTTTCACATATTGGTATTGCATCACTGCACATTTATAGACAGACATACATACAGAATTGGCATTGGATTACTTCAGCAATACATACAGCAATAAACTTGTTAGCTGGCAACATCTGTATCCCTTTGATCTTCTACGTTTAGGCCCTGTTTCGATTGTCGTTTTCCTTTTAAATACCCCTGGAAAAAATACACGTCTCTACCGAAAGATAAGATTGTCGTTTTGTTTCCAGCTGAAAATTGCTCCTGGTCGGTAATTTAAATACCTCCGTATTAAATTAAATCGACGCCAAGCGCGGCCTTAGTGCCACTGGACTGTAATAGTGCAGATCCACCTATTAGATAATTTGTTCTATTTCCCCTAAACATATAAGTAAATAAATAAAATTCATGCTTCAGGTCTTACCAGTCTTTTCATTAGTGCTTTAATGCCTAAACACCCTTTGTAAATTTATTATTTGGCTACCTACCCTACAAATGGAGCATTGCCGTTCCTTTTCTTTCTAATTTCGATTGTGCAGATTGGATGCTGGTAAAGGAGCATTTAGTATTTTCTTTTTTATGAAATTAACTGCATCAATCTTCATTTTGGTGACATGTTATATGGATCGGGCAAAATGTATGAACTTCCCATTTGCGGATCCTATACCAGAGGGCAAAATCTGGCCTAGCCCTGCTTAAGCATTACACTGTGTACAAGTGAAGCTACAGTATCTTTACTCCCTGATGTTCAGGGCATGTATCATTGGGATGACGAATACTATAAATAGAGCTATGAAATCTCCCTGATGCTTTGGCCCCGGATATTACCTGTCGTGTACTGTGGGTGGTTGAAAATATTTTGTTTGCTTTATTGCCTTGAAGATGATAGTCCCCTATAAATAGAGCTATGAAATCCTACCTTTTTGGGTAAGCCGATTACTCAGCAACTGGATACATTTCGTATTCATAGTCACTGAACCTTTTTCTTCTGATGGCGCAGGAAATTGGTTGCAGGTGCTGCAGGAGTACCACCTGTGCCAGAATTGATGTTCAATGCAGCAAAATTGTTCAACAACCTGGTTCGGATACTAATAATCTAACAAGAGTTGTTGATGTGAATGGATCCTCAATGGTCATAGAACAGGCGAGCAGTGTGAACGGACAATTGAAGCATTCTAAAAGTCAGCAGAGGAACAAACTACTAGTGGGCCCCAATTATCAAGCAGTGGTGCCACAGTGGACCGGCGTTCCGCCTGAAAATTACGGCGATCCAGAAACCCTCAAATGGCTGGGCACAAAAATCTGGCCTCCAGAAAATGAGAAGAAAATAACCCCAACCTACCATGACCGTATTGGCAAAGGCAGAGAATATGTTTGCAGCTGCAACATCCCGCGATCAGTAGAATGTGTCAGGTTTCACATTGCAGAAAGGCGGCTTCAGCTGAGACGTGAACTCGGCTCTGCTTTCTACCAGTGGGGATTTGACCGTATGGGCGAGGAGGTTGCCCTTTCTTGGACAGATGAAGAGGAGGCAAGTTTCAAGGCTGTAATGCAGACCTATGCGCCATCTCCAGGAAGGGATTTATGGAACCATCTCCAGTCATCCTTCCGCTGGAAGCCGATGAAAGAACTTGTGAGCTATTATTTTAATTGTTTTCTGCTTAGGCGGAGGTGTTACCAGAATAGGACCGCACCAAAGAAGATAGATAGTGATGATGAGGAAGAGACAGAGTTTAGGTTTTTGGGAAACCGTATGGGACAAAGTGCAACCAAGTATGAGAGCACCAAGCGCACCGTTTGCGTTCAGAGTACTCACTGCATGGATCTGGATGATGAGTAGTTGCTGATTGATTACATTCTAGGAGGCTGGTTGAAGACTGTTAAGTAGTTTGAATTTATAAATGGTCCCCATTCATTGATTTGGTTATGCCCATGACATTGCACATGAGTTTTTGTGAGCAAAGAGATAGACCATTTTGCTTACTGTTTTCAGAGCCGTGCCAGCAATCGAAGTTTTGATATGGACTTGCATCCCAGAAGTAAAAAAATGCACTGGTATTTGTTTTTGAAACAGAGAACTGCAGGGGAGGCCCCAACAGTAAACTTTGTTTCTACAAGTGAGAGATGAGGAGGATATATAGAGCCAGTTGCAATCTTTCGGGCTGAGAGGATTAACATGTTGTATACATTGTGGAATAGTAGTATGTTGTTATGAGAGAGGAGAGAACCTGACTGACTTGTATCATCATCATGTATACCTGCTTCAGTTTTTATCCTTCTGCTGTGGATTGACATGTACATTGACCAGTAGGTATAAGCATACCTGACAGCAGCCCGTTCCGGTTGTATGTTGAGGTTAGTCTTGTGAAACTAGTGTTGCAGTTGTTCTTTGTTGCATGTCTGTTTTATTTATTTTGGTTTCGGCATCTCAATAAGAACATGTCTGTTTTAGTCTATGATGAGTTTTTTCTTTTCTTTCTTGTGAGCTATAAATAAATGTCAAATATTATCAACCTAAGCACAACACTTGTTTACTCCCCTGTCACGCATTAACCAACAGATAAATGGGAATCGGCATTAGCATAGTCTGATCTGATGTACTAGAATTTAGTTCCAAATAAACACTTTGAATTTTGGGCATTAGCTTTGGTGGTGCTGTACTGTGCTGTGCTGTGCTGTGCTGTGCTGTGTAGGTTTGGTGGTGCAAGATGGCGGCGTCGTCTTGCTGCTGCTTTCGACTGGTGCTGAGTCGGTGTCTGTTTCCCAAGATTGTGCTTGTGTGTTTTGATGTGAGAAATAAACAGGGACTAGCTAACTGAGGTTGGTTTCTACGTACGAGTATTTGGTTTGGTTAATTTTTGTGTGCATAATTTGGCAGACCATGTTTATGTTTGTAGTGTAATAACCAAATCTGAGAGCTGCAACTGTAAACTAGCTTGTGGCTTGTGGTTTGTGGCTTTGAAATCTGCAGCCTTGTCAGTGTGGTTTATTTTGTTGCTGCATTGTACGCATTATGCTGTTGCGGCATTGTACGCATCCCGTGGTTAATGACATTGCTGATGGCTCCTTTTTTTTGTTGTCCAAAGGAGAAAAAGGGGGAAATAAATACAATATATGCTGCCTTTTGCCCCTTCCATTCAATTATTAAGCCTGAACATGTAAAGGGACTCAACTCTGAAGCTTCAGAGTTTATGCACACACCACTTGAGATTATGACACTATCATCTCTTGCCTCGAGTTATTAATAATTAATAGAGAACAAAAAAAACCTTTACTTGTTCCTCTGCTTTTGTGGTTGATGCACGGTTCTTGGTTGCTAGAAGTGGAAGGAGTCGGGGTCGACGCCTGGCACCACGCCCCCGATTTCCAGAAGTAGAGAGAGCCGAGGGCAGCCTCTAGAAGGGGGTGAAGCCAACTCGTCCTCCCTTAGATTTGCCGCCTCTAGAAGGGGGAGCCAACAGAGAAGAGGAAGAATCAGAGAGAGAGAGGACACGGTGGAGGAGAATGGGGGCAAACTATGGACAGATCGGGGTCGAGCAAATGAACCCTAGAAGCAAATGGAGCAAGTCCAATGGAACACTCGGATTGGAAAAGATAATTATACTGATGGGCATGGATGATAAAAAGCTTGGAAACAACACATTTGAGTCCCTTTACATGTCCAGGCTTAATAAGCCTGAACATTCAATTATAAGCTAGGATGATAAAGGCGCAACAGTGCATAGGGGCGCTTGCATGAGCCTAGACCTAGTAAAAGCGCTCGCTCAGCATCACCGTTGTTTCTCGCCCCGTCGCTATTCTTGATGGTTGTTGTGGCCGCTACATGCGATTGTAGGCCCTGTCCTGTTTTTCCCTCGTATATTGTTTGTTGCTTTGTTGTTTTAAAAAAAACATCGGCTTTCTTTGGTTATTTTTTTTAAACTAGTATACTAAATATGTTCATGACTTTGAAAAAGCTCGAAAATTTGGGAAAAGAACTCATGAATTTAAAACAAGTTAGTAAATTCAAAAAAAGATGCATGGATTCTAAAAACTTCATTTTTCAGAAAAGGTCACAAATGTTGGAAAATAATCTTCAATTTAATTTTTCTTGGATTTGCATTTTTTTGTGAATTTGAAATTTTTACGAATTCAAAAAAGTTCACAAAAAAATGTTTGTGGATTTAAGAAGATTTCAAATAAACTGAGAACCATTCAAAATTTCAGAAAACTATTCTCGAATTGAAAAGTGTTTGTTGATTTGATTTTTTTACAAGTTTAAAAAGTTTTTGAATTTGAAAAAATATTTACTAGTTTGGAAAAAAATCACGAATTTAAAATAGTACATGGTTTTTAAAAAGTTTATGAACTTGAAAGAAAGTCTCATTTTTTCAGATTTTGTGAATTGGAGTAAAGTTCATGAATTTGAAAAAAGATTGTGGATTTTAAAAATGTTCACGAATTAAAAAATGTAAAAAAAGAGAAAGCGATTTTTTTAAATAGTAACTAAAATGAAAAACAAAAAAAAACTGAAAGATAATCAAAAGAAGAGAGAAAGAAAAAATAAAAGCGAAAAAAGGAAAATACTTAATAGAAAACTGATCAAAATAACATGGCTAGAAAATAAAGAAAGACTGCAAAAAAAACCCAGAGAATTGGTTAAACAGCATGGTAATAAATGCTTCTTTCTAAATGATAGTGTGAATGGTACACTTATAATGATGTACTTACATTACTAGTCTATTCATTCAGTCATCAGATTGTGGAAGATTGTTTGTTTGGCCAGAAACAGAAACCCTGCAAATGGACCGACAGATGCTATTCTTTTCTTACTAATCTGTTTTATTTACAAATGTGTTGTTTAAATGAAATTAGCTACTTCAATCTTCAGTTTTGTATATCCGTAGTATATAGATAGAGCGAAAATGCGTCAACTTGTCCCATTGCCATCCATCTCAACGTGTTAAAACTTGTGGAGGGATATATATACATGTGGATGCATGCTAACATAGCAGAGGGCATTACAAATCTGTACTAATTAACCCTCCTTACCCATTACACTACAGACAAGTGAAAACTACAGTATATATATATATATGTTACAGAAAGGCGACTTGAGCTGAGACATGAACTTGGTTATGCTTTCTACTCCCTCCGTTCCAAATTACTTGACTTTCATTTGTCTAGATACAAATGTATCTATACTTGTTTAGTGTCTAGACTAGACAAATGGAGGTCAATTAATTTGGAATGGAGGGAGTACCAGTGAGGAGATGGTACTTTCATGGCAGACGAAGAGGAGGCGAATTTTAAGGCTGTGATCCAGAACAACACGCCATTTTCAGCAAGAAATCTATATACGGAACCATCTCCACTCATCATCATCATTTCGCTGTTGTATCTCTCTAGACTAGAGGTATGTACACGAAGCTAATGTTGCACTTGTTCTTTCTAGGCTCAGCATATTTTATTTCATTCAAACATTACTAAGTCATCATGCCTCGGCAGGTATTACTAAGCTTGTCAGTTCTCACAATGTAGTCTACTAGTATTACTTTCTTCTGGTGGTATATATGTTATATATGTATGTCAGAGATGGTTCTTGAATAAAATTGTGACACACTCAGGATTTTATTACGTATTCATTAGCTCCAAGCAACGATGGCTGGCCGTGATCACACACAGACAACTAGACGACGATGCAATTCTTGCTGAAATTAATTAGCCCTTTAAATCTTCAGGCGTAACATTAGAGGAGCTGCTAGGAGCATTAGGTGCCCTTCCCCAACAGCCATCGGCACTCCACGGACACATGCATAAACACTGAAATTGTATGGCCGTGGCTTGCTGGGAGTGTGTATGCTGACTGACGGCCATGCATGCAGTTTAATTAATTATTCTTGATTCTAAGGATAACAAGAAAAAAGTAGCTAGGTGCACCTTTTGCATATATATACGTTACTAGATGAAAAATGCTAAAGCGGCTGACCTTAACTAATTGTTGCCAACTAATTATGCAGAGGATTAATGCAGACACCATCGAAATAGCCGTGAAAAATATAGTCCCTTATCTAGAGGATACAAGCAATACTGCACACAAGGCCATCTATTTTGATGGAACGCGTGGGCTGGCTGCTTCGGCGGTGCTTAGAGCCATAGCTGAAGACCCTCCACCATCTTTGCTGAGGAAAGTCGACAAGGTCATCCACGTCGATTGCTCGAGGTGGAAAAGCCGAAGAGCACTCCAGTGGACCATCGCCAAAGTTTTAAATAGCGCGCTAAGCATCTTAGCGCCAGACCTCTTTCAAATGCTATAGCGTGCTATAGCGGAGCTATAGCGCGCTATTTAAAATGTTTGTTCATTTGTTTGGACCAAAGTCTCTTAGCGCAAGACCTTTTTTAAACGCTATAGCGTGCTATAGCGGAGCTATAGCGGGCTATTTGAAACAGTGACCATCGCACAAGAACTGAAACTTCCTCAGCGGGTAATGGATATTTTTGGTAGGCAAGATGTAGAAGATGATTTCAGAGGTGTAGATGAAAGCTCCAGAGCCGAGATTGGAGTCGTTGGGAGGGAGATCCATCAAGTCCTTGCGGTCCACGGATGTTTAGTGGTCTTTCATAATGGATGTAATGATATGGTTAAATTAAGTGATTTTGGCATTATCCAAGCAGAATTTCTTGATACCAAGGTATTATGGACATTTCGAGGAAGGCTTCGGCTCAACCCAGGGATTAGTGAGAAGGTGGATAATTCACACCATTTTCTTTATGATGATTATAGTTATAATGGGTGGAATTATTTGCTTACAGAAGAGGCTAGAGAAATTGCTGGGTACACAAATAAGCTTGGCAAAACAG